CTTGAAGTCCACACATCTTAAAGTTGCTGAGCTTGAGAAACACCGGCCTAGAATATTACAGGGAAAGCCCACAAAGCATGTCTTCCTTTCCACCTTATTTACTAGCAGTAGCTAAAGGAGGTGTCTGAATTTTCTTCTGTGTTAGGAAGAAATGTGGTCTGTGTGTGCGTGTTTGCTTGTATGAGTCTTTCTGCTTTTCTCTTGGGTTCCACCTAGTGTATGTGTGTTTGTGTGCACTGAGAGGCACAAACCAGGCCGCATATGCTTTGCTCTGGGTCATGGGAGGTAGCTAATCTTAAAATGGAGCAATGAGCAGCATTCCAGCCCCTGCCCACAGGGATTCAGGGAGAATGTTTTTTCCAGAATGTTTTTCTCCGCAGCCCTTATTTCTTTGCATAATTTCTTTCCAGTGTTCTGTTGAGAGAATAAAAATGAAAGAGCTTCAATCCAGAACTTCTCAGCAGACTCCCTGGATCAAAAAGGAGGGAGTCTGGAGAAGAATATTCCCTGCTTTTCATGTGCTTCAGCCAGGTGTTGAAAGCTTGCATACCATTTGCATTGAGCCCTATAGAAATATGGCCCAAATTGCCTGTGCAGCCCTTACAGTTCCATAAAAGAGGAAGAATGTGCACTTCTCATGTCAAAAAGGAGTGGACAAGTTGCCTTTGCTGAAACTCCCCTTCTGCACAGTTGCAGAAACTATGCTCTTTCTGGCAGCTTAAACCTTAAACCTTAGCAGTTTAAGCTGTTCATGAGAAGGGAACAGCCATACATTTTAGCTGTGCAAGTGACTCTGTTCCCAACCAAACTACTCTGTCAGGTAAACATTTTAATCTGTGGTTTCATTTTTGCTAGAAGCGTCTTTTATTACATTCTTTATTTGATAGGTAATGTAACCCTGAACAACTTCCAAGGCTTAAATGAAACCAGCAATTCTGGCTGAAAAAAGTAGAAGAAATGCTGCTGAGAGGCAAAATATCATGCTTGATGTGGCTTGCATGTTTGGTACATGAGAGCTGTGCCTGCAAATATGAAAATGTGTGCTATATGGTTTAGAAATATGAAGGTAAGGTTTTCATAAAATATAATGGTTGTGTGTTGTTGATCCTGATTCAACTAATTTTAATATGTTTGAAACACAATTGCTGCAGTGGATATTTTCTTCCTCTGCTTTCACTCTGCACATTTAAAAAGGGAAGATCAAGCGTACTTGAGGATGTCACATTTCCTAGAGAGAAAATGTAACACTAATACAGTCTCCTTCAGCTTGAAGTCAACTCCTAGTGCCTCATGGACATGTTTTCCTGATAATGTTACTTGATTTGCTCCTTCCTTAAACTGCACCCCCAACTGAACATGATTTCTCACTAGAAAGAACTCTTATTATGTAGTGATAAGAGTGGAAAAGTGTTCTTCAGGCTCATTGGGTCTGGAGACTCTACCCTGTTCATGATGACCTGGACCCTTTTAGGAAGGGTGGGCATGAGGACCAACCTCCAAACCTCATCATTTGGATGATTCTGTGCATTTTCTTGCAGATAAAGTTGCTCATTTCCACTCAGGCTTTGATGTCACTTGGGAAGGACCCAGTGAGGTAAGCGAGGTGATGTCTTGTGTTACCCTTTGGGATTTTTTTTAATCTTGTGGAAGCTGGGGAAATGCATAGGGTTCTCTGTAGCGTGAGCTCTGCCACCTGCAGGCTAGGTCCATATCCCGCCAGACTTCTTGATATGACCAGGCAGGGTGAGTGCACCTGGATTTGGGAGCTAATTGATGCTAGTTTGGGAGAGGGTGTTTTGGCTCCATATCTGAAAGAGGCAATGGTGCACCCCCTCCTGAAGAAACCATCTCTTGATATGACTCTATTTCACAATTTTCACCTTGTCTCCAACCTTTCCTTTTTTAAGAAGCTGGGTGGGGGGGGTCAGCTACAGATGATTGTAGAGGAAATGAACTATCTAGAACAGTGTTTCTCAAACTTGACAACTTTAAGACATGTGGACTTCAACTTCCAGAATTTCCCAGCTGGTGGGAGTGGCAGGGGTAGGTAGTGGCAGCGGAGTGCAAGGTGTCCAAAAGGGCAGAGATGATGGGGGGAGAGATGGGTGGGGGGAGTTGAAGCAGAGGTGAGTGCGGCAGGGTGGTGGAGCCTTGTCTGCCGAAGGGAGTTTGCCGGGCTCAGCTGGGGAGGAGACAGCAGGACAGAAGATTTGAGCTCTGTTTCTACTCACTGCTGAGTGGGGAGGGGAAAGCCCTTGGTGGTGGGAAGGAACGAAGCTCAAATCCTGAAGAAACCCCTTGGTGGTAAGAAGATCCAATGGGGAAGCTGGCAGAGAAGATTGCAGATGGCAATCACATGATCTTGGGGCGCTTGGCAACCGGTCGTAAATGTGATGTCCTGTCCTGGCCCACAGAATTCACAGACACATAGGTAAGTCTTATATCTTTACAAAAAAGTTTTTCTAACAGAACTCTAATGGTAAAAAGGTTTGAACAATCAGTTGTAGTCCCTCACGCCCAGAATACCCAGACCACAAATAGAACACTCATCCAGCTTAAATTAGAGGCAAGAGAGAGTTCAAATTGTTAATAAAGTACTAGAGGGCCAAACAAATGTGGTATGAGGTTTCAGGGTCATTAGTTGAGAAGGCAGGCTAGGACATGGAGGAACACGATGGTGAGTTAAGTGGAGAGTTGTCACCAGTGGATCTGTGAAGTGCTTGGCTCTCCTTATATAGGGGTGGCGTGACCCAAATTTGTTCCTTTTTCAGGGCAGGGTTCTTTCTGGCCAATAGTCTTGCTGAGCACCTTTGTTCAGCCCTCCTTTCTTTGCGGTGGGTCCTTGCATTGGGGGGAGATGTTAGCTCCACCTCTTCATCTCCAGAAGCCAGCGATGGTTGCCTCTCCTGTTTGCTATTCTCCTGCAACTCTTCCAGCTGAATCCCCTCAGACTGATGATTCTCATGTAACTCCTTGTCATCTTCTGAGTCTGAGCTGGCAATGAGCTGTGGGAGACCTCTATGAAATGTGGACAAGGAGTCCGGCAGGGAGATCTGTGATCCCCTCTTTTATTCATCATGGTCATGGACAAGATTGAGCATTGTTGCCCAGTGTCAGGCTTGACTTGGCCTACAGATTGACTTCCTGGCGTACGCCAATAACTTAGTCCTGTTGGCAGAAAAATCTATGGATGTCCAAAGTGTGTCACTGAGATTCTACAATGGGCTGCTTTTCCTGTTGCAATTAACACCTGCCCATCATTGTCTCCAATTGGGACCTTTTCTATGATTCATCTGGCTGTGGACTCTTTGGGCTTGAGCTGTAGGGACATTATGGATCTTTATTTACTCATCATCAATGGCCCACTCAAATGCTATGACCTGTACACAGAGGCACAAAGACTGGCTGTTAATGGACTGCACAGTGGTCATCTATGACCTATGACCTGCCTTCAGCGGCGACTTCTTCTGCATGACTGTCAGATAGCGATACTTTTGTCTTAGAGAATTGACTTACAGGGGTAGGAATGGTTTTATTGCATTTCCATTTTCTTTGCCTGTATTGTTGATTGCTCTAATAATGAATAAATGTTAACTAGCAAATGCCTTGTCTTCTAATTAGTGACATGCATAAACAGATGAACAAGATTCCCACTGTCCCTACCTGTTATCTAATGAAACCACAACCAAGGGAACCAGCTTGGCAGAATCAGCAAAGAAAGAAGACCCTGTTGAGCTTGACTCCAGTCTAGTCTGGAAACCTGGTGGATTCACTTCAGCTTCAATGCAAGAATTCCAGCGGAAGATTATACATCACTGGCATTGGACTGTTAGATTAGCATGTGTGTGTGTGTGTGTGTGTGTGTGTGTGTATAATTCCTCCAAATGCTGGAGAGCATTGGACTGTTAGATTAGCATGTGTGTGTGTGTGTATAATTCCTCCAAATGCTGGAGAGCATTGGACTGTTAGATTAGCATGTGTGTGTGTGTGTGTGTGTGTGTGTGTGTGTGTATATAATTCCTCCAAATGCTGGAGAGGTTGTCAAAAAAAAAAGTCATTTTTTCACTTGTGGTCGTGTGATAAAGTTACACCCTTCTGGCAAAAGTTTTTTTGGAGAGGTAAGTATTATCACTAAACAAAGAATTGAATGCTCGCCAAAGTTAGGTTTATTGCATTTATTTACAGGACCAAATTGTAAGCTTAAAAATAAAGAACTGATTATTTAATTTTAGCAGCCAAAATAATAATGGTGCAACACTGGAAATCTTTAGATAACGTAAGAATTGAATTGTAGATTACCAAGGCCTCTTCAACTGCCACAGTAGAAAAAAACTACAGATAAAGTAATGAGACTTCAGAAGCAGGAATTACAATTTTGTCAAATTTGGATGGATTTTATGATTTATCTAAATAGCAATAGATTATAATTTGGTGTACTCTGTCTATATGGTAAATTTTCACATACATGCACACGTGTCTTTATTCACATTGTGGTAGATCTTTTTTGTATTTTTTATATCTTTTTTCTTTATATATATATCTTGGATTTATGTTAATATGGTTACCTGATATTGCTTGAAATAAAAAAAATGCAAAAAAAAAGTCTTCTCACTCTGTAACATAACCAAAGCAACAATATTTTGTCATTCATTAATACTTTGAGCCAGGGCATAAAGTGACTTTTCCTCCTAAAAATTATAATGTATAAATTCTTTAAAAAACCAAACAGTCTTACAATATTCACATTTCTTTTTTCAATAGGCTCTCCTTCTCCTTCTTAAATTATAATTGCCATAGAAGAACTCTGTTTCTGAGACAGACAGGATGTGTTGTAAATTGTGGTAAGCCATGGTTTATTTAGTAATTTCTTGCTAAACAAATCACAATTGTCTGGCTACACAGATAATGCTAAGTCTTACAAAATGGGTTGCAAACCACAGTGGCAGGAGTTATATTTTGCCCTAGTGCAATGTTCAAATCCAGCTGGACTCTGACAATACTCTTGGGTTGGTACATGGCAGACACCCATCAGCAGTCTATTTATTTATTTCATTTATTTCCTGTATTTATGTACCACTGAAATCTTCACAGACTCCTGGCATTTATATCTATATAACATATAAAACACACAAACAAAAGTAGCACTGTAATATTATTGCAAAAAAAAAAAAGCACAAAACAAAGTACCATATTTACAGGAAATTTTACTTATTTATTTGGTTAGATAATGTACAGTATATGGCTGTTCCACTTGTGTAATCACTGCTCTGGGCAATGTGTCAGACAGACCTGCTAGAGGGCCAAGCCACACTAGTTGGACTGATGACACCAACAATAAACCTTTACTACTTTAAATACTATTACTCTCCAACACTTAATCCAACATACCACCAATCCACAAACTAACCCCTCAATAAAGTATCAACCAGCTCCACGCTCCACCCCCCAGTCCCTTTCTCACCAGGGTTCTAGCTGTGAGGCACTCTTCCTCTCACTCTTTCTCCTATCCAGAGTATAGTGTTCTCATTCCAATCCATTTTTTTCTCCACCAGGTGAGACAGTCCTGGACTAAACTTTCACAAGTTGTGATCCAAGAAGGCTTCTGAACCCACAGCTTCCTGTACGTAAGCTAGTTCCTTGCTGCTACTGATCTCTCTTCACAATCTTTGCACTCCAATAACTTCCCACAGCTGCTCTGATAAGAGCTCCAAGAATCTTGTTCCAAGGTTTTTCCAGCAACCTACAATCTATTGACCCCAGGTGAGGGACGATTTTCCAGACAAAACATCAACCTTGAATCTGCTGAGGCTACTCTCTGGCCTCTAGTCATTTCCTGGAATATTTGTGTTAGTTGCTCTGCTTCCCCATTGTTCTTACTCAACAGCCTACCCTCCAGATCAACAAACCCAGGGGCCATAATTTACATGCCCTCTCTAAACTTATAATCTCTGCCAACTTTGGTGCTCGGTGTTCTTAGACAATATCTTACCGCCATAGTCAGGCATCCACATTTCTTTCCAATATCCTTCTTCCTATACATTCTATTCCTTTCTCACCTCTCTTTCAGTCCTTCAGTACCTTCCACATGTACCCACTCAAACATCTACCAGCACTTCACATTCCCCTTATCTATCTGCTTCTCCTCACAATCACGTCAAAATGTTCACAACTTTCTCTTTAACCACCAAAAAATCTAAACTCTTGCTTGTAGGGTTGCCACTATATACTGTCACTCTTTAAAAACAAAACGTGCCTGATCTTCCTGAATTTGGATTTAATTTCCTACACTTTAATAATGTGTGATTTGGTTCACACATAATATGAAGCCATATCTAATTTAACCATAGTTTAGGAAATGCAGCATTATTGGTTGGGCCTGTACAGTATGCTAGTCCATAAACCATGTTTTATAAACTACATGAATTGAGTTCCCATAACATGCTAAGCCAAAACCAAACCATTAACATTATGACTGAACATGACTTAATAATCCTTCTAACTATGGAGTGTTATACAGTATGGGGGAATGTTCAAACATATATACTGTATATTGTGTTCTGAGAAAGCACAATACTGATAGCATGCATGCATTATATATTTAGAGGCAAAAGGGTAACTTGGGGCCTGTGAGGGTAGACTGAGAATTGAGCTGAGATTCCTACTCCTCCACTGCAGTAATCCTGTTCTCTCTCTCTCTCTCTCTCTTTTTTGTATTTCTACATAGCTATGAAGGATAAAACCGTGATCGTCAGTATTTCTTGTTATCCAGACTATTCAACCATGTTAACTGGAATAATGGTGGTTGGTCCAGTGCTTCTTGATTGCCACTATTTGGGAAGATTGTGTTGCAGATAGGTCAGATTCTTAAGATGCTTCATCAAAATTTCCAGATGTGTATACATTGTCCAGTGGATCTAGTGGGGCCTGAAATTTATGGGTGCCTGAGCCAAATTCCACTCAACCAGACATTCACCAGCTCTCTTCTCTTGGGTCTCTCTCATACGACTTCAGCCTAATTTCTACAACAGTAATGTTAATCATCTCCCGTCTCTTTTCTATCTGCAAGTAGGATTAATCTGTAATTTGGAGAAAAGTCTTGTACTGATGCTTTATTTGTGTGTATGTGGGAATTTCAAAAGGGCTATTGCATTTGGGCTGCAAAAATTTATTTGATCACTGCATAGCAGCATAGGAGTGTTCCTTTATTTTCTTGCTGCCATGTAGTGAATGCCCAGATGTTTGCAACACAGAGACCAGAGTTTTAAATTTAAAGGCAGTAAAATAGATATAAATTAAATAAACAAACAAATAAATAAATAAGAGATAAATAAAATAAAATGGATATATAAATAAAATAAAATACATGAAATAAAATAGATATTTCACATCTAATAAAATCACAAGACATTGATACAAATATATTACTGTGTGCTAAGCCAGTATGTGGTTTGTTTGTTTGCTTTATTATATTATATGAACCCAAACATTATGATTTGTAACCCTTGATTTACTGTTTAGTTATTGTGTGAACCCAGCCACTTGCAGTTTCAGTAATACTGCTAGTAATTAATTCATCATGTTAACTTTTCCACAGGCATTTAAAATATGGGGTACTGCATACACTGGGCTTCCATTCCTGTTTAACCACAGGTACATCTAATGACAACAAGAGTTTCACTTGAACATTCTTAATTTAAAGTAGAAATTAGGATTTGTGCTTGAGCCAATAGCTTCTATTCAGAACAACAACAAAAATCAAACAAACAGCTATATCTGCTTCTAAAAAAATTCTCAGCTTTTAGTACTGCTGATCCAGAGAAAGCATATCTCTATATTGACTCAGACTACCTAATTGCAGCTGAAAGAGAATTTAAAGCAGTCTGGATCCTGGAACACTGAAAAGAGGCTGCACGGGAAGATGAAATGTTCTCGTGCCACTTCTATGAACAAAAGAATTAGAGGGCAAATTTCTTGATTTTCCACTCTAACAGAAGGAGCTCTCCAAGAGTGATACGGTGTCCTTCTAATTTACCCCAGCTGTTCCTGCCGGAGATTCATCTAATTGTCCCTGTGGAGGTCTGTTAACTCTATCCTTCCCTTTAATCTGGAGGGCTGAGCAGGTCAGGAAAGGGAGGAAAAGGAAGAGGCAGCTTCATGAGCCTTTTTCATGTCCTCATAATATATTATGGGGTAGCAGAGTACAAAACAATGCTTTTCTTTTTTTGCCTAGAGTAGTCCAATCTTTCCAAATCCATTGGGCTCTATCTTCTACTGCTGCCCCAGCTAACTTCCCATAGGATAATGGATAGGGATGATGGTGGAACATAACTGAAGGGCACTGGGTTGGGGAATCTTAGTTCAATATTTGAAATTTCATCTCATGAGGGATATTTTTGGCAATTTGTATTTTAAAGTCACTACAGGTAGTCCTTGGGTAACAACTAGCTGTTTAGTGACCATTTGAAGTTACAACAGCCCTGAAAAAGTAAATTTACAACCAGTCCTTGCACTTATGGCTGTCGTAGCCTCCCCATGGTCACGTGATTGAAATATAGGTGTTTCGCAACCAGTGCATGTTTATGACTGTTGCTGCATCTGCAGTCATGTGATCGCCATTTGTGCACTTCATAGCCAGCTTCTGACATGCAGAGTCAGTGGAGAAGCTGGCAGTGAAACTGCAAGTAATGGTCATGTGATGTCTCACTGAATGATTATGTCGCTTAGTGATGGTTGTGGTTAAGTGAGGACTACCAGTAATCAGTGGGAATTCCTTCAGTGTTTTTTCAAGCATATTTCTTGCTAGATGTATTCTATTCATAGAGAAGAAACAGATGGACAGATACAGAAGCCCATCCATGAAAGGCGGGGGGGGGATTAACACAACACAAGTATTTCCAGGGGTATTCCATCTTGACTTATTTTGAACCACCTCCCTCCCATGGATGCCCCTGTATATTTCCCGGAAATAGAACTCAAGGGGTATTAGGGATTACTACCCAAATGCATTGGGTTTCCTTCAGATCATATTCTTGAGCCAAAGTCACAAAGCTGCACTGAATGTTTACAGGAACACTGTCAGTGAAACTAACCACCTCTTACCTTCTTGTAGCGCCACCAGGTAGTGTTATGGGTTATAGGAACTTTCCAAAAGAGGAAGGCTTCCTTCAATTACCTACACCAAATTTTTCCAAGCCTTTAAAGATTATCACCATCACTTGAACTGGAACAAGACAACAGTTGGAGCTTAGTAGCTCTCCTTCAGTAGATGATTTATATGGTCAGCAGCTGAGTTGCTGCATCGTAAGGCTGCTACAGTTTCTGTATGCTGTATCAGTTTCCCAAACTAAGCATCTTTCAGATGTGTTAGGCCTACAACTTCCAGAATTATGAGGTGGGATAGTTCTTGGTTATACCTGCCAGGAAGTTTGGGAGTGGCAGTCCAACATCTAGTGATGACAGGTTGGGGAAACTTCTTGTATACATTTAAAGGCAATCTCTTGCAGATTAGATGGCATTAATTTAGTTCTCTCAACCAAATGCCCATCAGATATCTTATATTCCTACTCCTATCATCCTTTGCCTTTGGTCCAACTGATGAAGCTGAATTGAAAAAAATTGGATAGTATCAAGTTGAAGATGCGAAGACAGATTTTTCTCCCAATCTTTTTGTCAATACCCATATACACACATGTTCTTTCTGGTTCACACTTAGATTTACTTTCTCTTTCACAAATAGTGATCATTCATGACTATCACCTAACTTCCTATTCACCACTCAGCTAGAGTATTGTAACACCTTCTGCATAGGGCTGCATTTGAAAACAACCCAAAAGCTACAGCTGTTAAAATGTAGCCACCAGGATGTTAGCAAGAGAGAACCACTATTGTTAAGTAACACTTTTTCTCTGGTTACAACATTTATTACTGATAGGTTATGGTCCTATTCAGAGAGTCACACTGAGCTGTAAAGTTCTGTATGGCTTGGCTCCAAGGTACATTAGTCTATTCCATAGGGGTTCTGCCCAGCCCATATGTGCAGGCAGGCAAAGGGAGCTTAGGGTCCCACTCTCTTACCAATCAAGGCCACATGGACCTGCAGGCAGTTATTTTCCATAATGGCCGCCCTGCTATGGGATCCCTGCTCAGAGATGCACCATAAAAGGCAGTTTTATTAAATCAAATGTTTGGAGATTGATTTCTGATGTTCTTTCATACTTAGTTACAGGAGACCTGTTTTTTTATTATACTTAAGGTTACCGTGATATTGCATGTGTTGCTTTGACTTTTTGTTTTAATGTTACTGCTGAAAGTCATTGGAGCTGGGTGCCAAATAAGTACATTTAATAAAATGAAATAAAATATATTCATTAGAATCTTTTCTCATCAATACCCCCAAGTTATGCTGTAGTTCAAAGTATTATGTGGGGGTCCTTTTAGGTCTCCCACTTCTTAGTAAGTAAAAGATTGAAGTTCTCACCTCCAACCATCCTCCATTTTTCTTTCTTTCTTTTTTTTTTAATAATCATGCTCCTAAGTTACTTCATGGAATACATAATGATTTTGTGAAAAGCAAAGAAATATGGAGGTTTGCCAGTGTTTGGTACTTTAGAATGCATGCAATTTCTGGATTTTTAAAAAAATCACGTGACTAGGGTGAATTCCAAAATTAAATACTAGACTTCAGCCAACCACCATCTTGAAGCAGGCCAAGGATCTCAGATGATGCTAAGGATATCATAAAGCCACCTTAGGGAGCTCTGATCATAGGCAAAATGAGTTTTGAATTACCAATTTCCCAATCTTACATTATTATGCTGCTTCCAGCTTACAGTTCTAGTGATTGACTGAATCCTTTCTATGGGTCCAAGCAAGGCCAATTATATCTAAAGCTGGCAGGACCAGAGTGTTGTAGCTAGCAAGTGATCCTTCTTGCTTCCTGCAGATTACTCACTCAGATAGAAACTGATAAGAAAGGACTGTCATTAGACAAATGTCATTCAAATTTTCATTAAATGTTTTCCATTGCTACTTTCACATTATTAGCTGTGTGCATAGTAATTAAATCATCATAACCATTGGGTTTATTTGCATACAAAACAATCTCTAACGCTGGAACAAGTACTGGCTGCTTAATAATGTAAAAGGGAACATCATAGAATCATAGAATTGGAAGGGGCCATTTAAGCTACTGAGTTGCCCAGTGAAAGAATCCAAAATAAAGCATCCCAAGCAGACGGCTGTGAGCACACATTAACCTATGTAGTTAATTGATTCCATGGGGGAATTGCTCTTACTCTTAATACGTTTTTTCTAATATATCTCTTTGTTACTATCTAGTGATTGTCCACATTTTTGTAGCCCAGATCAGGTTGCCCTGTATAGCTTAAATCCATATTCTGTATCCTATGCTCTGGAATGAAGAAGAATAAGTCTTCTTCATCCTCTGTGTATTTATTATTTTTCATTCATTCACTCGCTCACTCAATCATAAATGTTTGTATGCTGCTTCAATCAATTTTACTCTTGGCTTCCTGTGATCTGGAAATTAAACTTCTGTTGATGCAGCCTAACATTGCATTTGTCTTCTTTGCAACTGACTCATATTCAGTTTGCAATTAAGCACAACTGCATTGCAAAAACTTTTTTGCAAACACTGTTACCAAACTAGGCATTCCCCACCCTATACTTGTGCATTTGATGTTTGTTGTAAGTGAATTTGCACTTGCCTCTGTTAAATTTCATTCTGTTACTTTGAATCCATTCTCAAGATAATTTTGAATGCTATTTTGAGGGTATTGGGTATCCCTCCCAATTTTGTATGATCTGCAGATCTGATAAGCATTCCTTTTTTGTCCTAATAATTAATGAACACTTTGAAGGGTAGAGGACCTAGGAGAACTAATCCTTTGGCATCTCACTTGGTTTCTCTCTCCATTTTGAAGAGGAATCACTGATAAATGCTCTTTGAGTATGATTTTTGAGCCAGCTGTAAATCCATTTAATAGTCATGCTGTCCAGCCCACTTAACTATCTTGCTGATCTCCAGCTGCTATTAAATTATTTAATGCAAAATCTGCTGCCCAGCTCTTATATGGGCCTCAGCTTGGACCTGATTCCAGTTCACAGCCTATGGAAAAGTACCATCTCGGAAAACATCTTATTAGAATTACTCAATACATGATTACCACAGCAAGACTTCTTTATGCAC